GCCAGACTGGGCCCCATCCAGACACCTTTCGGGAAGATGGGCTGAGGAGTGAGGATGCCAACAACCCAACATCTGAAGAGCCTCTGTGGCAAGAAGGTCCCTCCAGAACTCAGTCAGCTGGGCACCTCACAGTGATGGAATTTTAGCTAGGGAAGTGCATCTCCCAGGAGAATTCCTCCACTCTCCCCCAACTCAACACCCCAAGTGGCTGCAAACCTCCCCTCCCTCCCGAGCCTGGACCCTTTTGGAGGGCCTGAGGTGGAGCTGGGAGGGGGCCCACTAGAGAACAAGTGTCTTTTGTGTGAGTGAGCCTGTAGCTAGGACCCCACCTCCCCTCTGCAAGCCCTCGGCTGAGACAGCCACGCTTCAACCATCCTGAGGTTCGGCTTGGTTATTAACGACCATCTCTACTAGGCAACAGAGTTTTTTGTTGATCCCTCGAGATGGGAAGGAAGGAGAATAAGCTTTTCTCTTTCTTTTTTTCCCCCTTGGTTGCAGAAAAGTGAAGTTGGAACAAACAAGTTATATAACGCTGGGGGCGGTGGGGGGGTGGAGGAGCTCAGTCCCTCCTGAGGACAGTTTCTTGAGTTGTGGGACCGTTGGAAAGGCCAAGGGGAAGACAGGAACCGCCCCCATCCCTGGCCAAATGACAAAACCCTTCATGGGACAAAAAGGCAGATGCAGGCGCCTCCTGGAAGACCGGAAAGCCAACCCCACAGCCTCCCCCCAGCCCTCAGCAACCCCACAAGTCTCCCTGAAAAGGCGAAGGACTGACCCGATCCCATGGAAGGGACTTCCTATCCACCAGACTGCAAGCCCTAGAGAGCTTTTCCACACCCCTTTCATCCATCCCTTTCTCTCTCCCTCCCCACACCCCCCCACCCCGGCCATATTTCTTGAACATTTATTTCCTCTGTACAGCCCTTGCTCCAGGCATATAAGACAGCATGAGGCAGACGCTCTCCACCCTCAAGGCATTTCCACTAATAAACACACCAAGGAGTGTTGGGTTGAGATAGTGTGATCAAGGACACACAACAGCCATATGACCCAGCCACTCCGCTCCTGGTATACACCCCAAGAACTGAACACAAGTGTTTCGACAAAAACTTGAACATGCGTGTTCATAGCAGCACAGTCCAACTAGCTAAAAGGTGGAACCAATCTAAATGTCCACCTGTTGGTCAAATGGATAAACAAAATGTATGGTATGTCCACACAGTGAGATATTATACAGTCGTAAAAAGGAATGAAGTACTGATACACACTCCAATGTGGATGAATCTTGAAAACATACAAAGTGAAAGAAGCCTGACACAAAAAGTCACATACTGTATGATTCCATTTATGAAACAGGTAAATTATATAGAGATGGAAATGAGATGAATAGTTGTAGGAGGCTGGGGTAGGAGGAATGAGGAGTGATTGCCAATAGGTACAGAATTTTCTTTTGGAGTGGTAGAAATGTTCTGGAACTAGACAGATGGGATAGTTGCTCAATATTGTGAATATACTAAATGTCACGGAATTGTTCACTTTTCGTGGGTGAGTTTTATGCTATAAAAATTTTACCAAACAATCCAAGGTGACCAGAAAAAGCATTCTGGGGGCTAACTGAGCTTGGTGGTCAGGCAGATGGCTCTGAGAGGACATGACCTGGGAGTGTGGAAGGATGAAGAGGAATGAGGCATGCACAAGTGATACACCAGGCCTCGCTGGCCCCTTTGGAATAAGTGAAGGAAGGAATAAATGAACATTACAAGGGCCTCTAGATCTCAAGGGATCCTTGGCAAAATACTGTGTGCCACAATCTCCCTCAAAACCGGATCCTCTTCCCACATGCTCCATCTCACCATATTAGGGATTCTTGCCCTTCTCCCCATACAAGCACCACAGGGATAAGAGCCCCTCCCCTATCAGTTGCTCTAGACAACTGTAATCTTTCCACTAGGATGGGTGGAAGGGGGCAAATGGGAATCTAGGAAGTGGGGGAAATGTTTTAAAAAAAAAAAAGACATTTAAAAAAGGACACCTGGGTGGCTCAGTCAGTTAACTAAACCTCTGCCTTCAGCTCAGGTCATGATCCAGGGGTCCTGGGATTGCCTGGGATTGAGCCCTGGAGCCCTGTTCAGCAGGGAGTCTGCCTCTCCCTCTCCCTCTGCTTCCCCCCACCAACTTGTGCACGTGCACGCGCGCTCTCTCTCTCTCTCAAATAAATAAATAAAATCTTAAAAAAAAAAAGTGCCTCCATTTAGAAGAGATTTCCTAGAGGGGTGCCTGGGTGGCTCAGTCAGTTAAGCGTTCAACTCTTGATCCTAGCTCAGGTCTTGATCTCACGGTCATGAGTTCAAGCCCTGTGTTGGCCTCCATGCCCAGAATGGTGCCTGCTTAAAATAAAATTTTAAAAAAGAAAAGATTTCTTACACATGACATTAAAAGCGTAATCCATTAGAGAAGAACACTGATCAAATGGACTTCATCAAAATGATAAAATTTTGCTTGTGAAAGATATCATTAAGAAAAGGAAGGAAGGAAGGAAGGAAGGAAGGAAGGAAGGAAGGAAGGAAGGGAGAGAGAGAGAGAAGAAAGAAAGAAAAGAAAGAAAGAAAAGAAAGAAAGAAAGAAAGAAAGAAAGAAAGAAAGAAAGAAAGAAAAAGAAAGAAAGAAAGAAAGATGAGCCACAGACTGGGAAAAAATGTTTGTGAATCATATATCTGATAACGGACTTGTAGCCAAAATACATAAAGAATTCTTAAAAGTCAACAGTAAGACGACAACTCAATTAGAAAATGGGCAAAAGATTCGAAAAGACATTTTACCAAAGATATAAATACCCAATAGACAACGAAAAAGTGTCCAACGTTATTACTTATTAGGGAGATACAAATTAAAACCAAAATAAGACACCAGTATATACTTAAAATGGCTAAAATTAAAAACTGGCCACATCAACTGTAGACAAGAACGGGGTGCAACCAGAACTCCTGTACATTTGCTGGTAGAAATGCAAATGGTACAATCACTCTGGAAAACAGGTTGGCAGTTTCTTAAAAAGTTAAACCTACATCTACCATAGGACCCAGTCAGTCCACTCCTGTATTTACCCAAGAGAATAAAAGTATATATCCACACAAAAACAAATACCAGGATGTTCACAGGGACTTTATTTGTAAATGTCGAAACAGAAACCCAGAGGTCCATTAACCAGTAAATGAGTAAGCAAACTGTCGATGCATACAATGGAATACTCCGAAGCAATGATAAAGAACATGCTTCTGATACTGGTGACCACACAGATGAACTTCCAAAAACATTCAGTTAAGGGAGAGAAGTCAGACATAAGAAGCCACATATAGTAGGATTCCATTCATATACAATTTCCAAAAAGGCAAAACTAGAGAGCAAAAGCAGATCAGGGTGTGTTTGAGGCTGGGGGTTGACTGTAAGGGGCTTGAGGGAACTCTTTGGGGTGATGGAAGCCTTCTCAAAAACCTGGATTGTTTTAAAGGGTACATAACTCTATAAAATAATTAAAACTCAAACTGCTCAGCTAAAATGAGCGAATTATATGGTATGTAATTAGTTACACCTTGCTGTTGTCCCCAAACTATCCCATTCCTGGGCCCAAGGCAGGGACCTGGGGTTAGCTGTCCCCTTTTATCTGTTCCTTACGTGTCACCTCATGCCTGGTCAAAAAGCCCTGCCAACTCTACCCCCCGAATGTCTTAAAATCTTCTGCTCTCTCCTCACTCCCTATTGTAGGCCTCTAAAGCCCAACTCATGCCTGGAGCCATCAGGTCTTTCAGGTCAGCACCAGCCCAAGTCTCCACAATGAGGACTGCCTCCACAGCATACAAGTAGTGAACAACTTCATCACTTATCACACTGGAATTATTTGCTCCCATAAGCTCACCATCAAGGAAGAGCCCAGATTTCCTCCTTGGCCAACCAAGGGTGGCAGGCTCCCCTGGGAGGCCAGGATGGGAGGATCTGGGCCACGCTGGCCCTGTACGAAGAGGAAGGTTGTGCTACCTAAGGCAGGTGTTCCTTCCCTCTGAGAATCCAAAACAATGCATACCAACACCTTTGATTTTTACACCAATTCTGGGGTTCAAGCAACCCGTCTCAGGACTTGGACAAAGGAAAAGGGAGCCTCCCTTTTCTGTGGGCAAGACCTTGCTTCAAGTCCTTTAGTCTGGGGGAGGATTTGAACCCCATGGGGATGGGAGACAGGAGCACCAAGGATGGACCCTCCTTAGACTTTCAGGGTTCTCTCATCCTCAGGCTCCCCAAGACCCACCCCAGCTCCTTAGGACCCCTGGGAACTCCAGACCCTTTCCTGCCCATAAGGACACACTGGGACCCCTGGGGACAACGGCAGCCTCTGCTTTCAGGTTTTCCTAGGCCCTTTAGGCCTCTTTCAGGCCCTCAGATTCACTTGAGCCCCCTATCTCTAGCCTTCCACAGTCCTCACTCCTGCCAGGACCCCTCAGCATGCCCACAGGACCACCTTTAAACACTTCAGGGCAGGGTCCTACAGCACCCTCCAGGAAGCCTTGGGCCTCAGCCCCTCAAGCTCTCATCAGTCCCCTCCTTAAGAGTCCCCAAGACAGCCTCAACAAGCTCAAGACTGCCCATGGTGCCCTCCTCAGGCCCTCTCTGCCTCCCAGACCCTTTGGGATCCCCAGTTCCCCCATGGCCTCATCACAATCAGGAGTCCATGGGTTTCCCTTCAGACTTCCATGCTCCTCAATGGCCCCTCGGACCCCTAGGGCCGCATGCAGATACCTCGAGATCCTGGGGGCCCCAGCCCGCCTTCGGCTGCCCCTCAGTAGCCTTCGGTCCCCCCAGTACTCCATGACCCCCTAAAGCCAGCAATCCCCCGTAAAGACCCTCGAACCGGCCCAGGTGGCTCCTCAGCCCCTCACGACCCCCAGGACTCCCCACACGTCACCCTGGCCCCGGGGCAGGTGCCAGCCCACCCTGCCCACGGGTCTCACCTGCTCGGACGCTCTGGGCCCGGGCCCGCGCCGAAGCCGCCGCCACCAGCGCCGCCGCCTCCACCGGACTCCGCCATCTTCCCGCCGCCGCCGCCGCCGCCGCCGCCGCCGCCGCCGCCGCCGCCGCCGCCGCCGCCGCCGCGCGTTCAAGTGACGGGAGCCGCGCGCGCCGGCCCGGGAGACAGAGACGCGGGGGGTGGAGGGGGCGGGGCGGCACCTGGCCTGTTCTGCAGGGGGCGGGGCCCTGGGCGAGGGGTGGGGCCTGGTGTAATGAGGGGTGGGGCCTGGGCGGAGAGAGGTGGGGTCTGCGGATGGGCGGGGGCGGTGAAGGCAGGGGCCTGCTCAGCTGAGGGAAGAGGGCGGGGCCTGGACGGAGGGCGGAGTCTGTGGTGAGGGGCGGGGCGTTATCTAGATGGCGGGGCCTACTCCCGGCAGGCGCGGGGCAAAGGCGAGTTGTAAGGGGTTGATGGGACCTGAGAGGGGGCTCGGAGAGTAGGGGCTGGCCCGAAGGTGAAGTGCGGCGGGTCTGGGGAGGGGTCTGTTCTACGAAGTGGGAGGGGCGAGGTCGAGATGGGAGGAACAAGGAGAAACTGATTCAAGAGCTCTGATAACTTTGCCTGCCCTTCCAGGGGCTCCCCAAGACCTCCCTCAGGATGTGGGAATTCATCCCTTGCCCAGGCCTCAGACTTCCAACTGGGCTTTGGGTCCCAACCCTCCCCTGAGCTACCTCCCTCAGAGCCTCCACTCTCAAACCCAAGAACCTCCACTTTCAGACTCCGGTCATCTGCCCTCAGATCCCCAAACCTCCTGCTTCACCCACAATTCTGGTTTTCACACCCCCAAACCTCTGCCCTCAGATTATCTCCCCCACCCTCTACACCAGCCCTAACTCCCAATCCCCTAAATCCTTGCCCACAGACCGTTCATACCCACACTTACACCACCAAAGTCCACTCCACCAGACCCAACAGCCTTGGACCCTCAAATTCCAGCCCCCAATTACCCCATCTTCAGCCAAGACTCAAAGTTGTGCATCTATGTCCTTCCTTTTTTTCTTTGTTCTCCTTCTTTCTCCTCTCCCTTCTTTCACTGCTCCCCACTCTGGACCCCATGGAGCCCAGGGCCAACAAGGCCTTTGAAAAGCTTCCAGAGCCTTTCAAGGACACTCCCCACCCCCCAATCCACTGAAAGCCTAGAATCCCCACCCTAGAAGGGTCCAAGTTCCCAGGATCCTCCCTCCAGCCTTGTGCCCATTTATACTTTCACCTTCTGAGTTGGAATACCCTCCCATGTGCAGCCTTGAGCAGGGTTCAGGGGTCCAAATGAAGCTCAGAGCTTTCCTTGCAATCAGTGCTGGGAGAAAGGAGTAGACGTGCAGGGGCAAGGAGGAAACAAGGAGGCTGCCTGGGTGGGCTCCTGCAGCTAGAACCGGACTCAACTGATCATCTGTCGCCGAGGATCAGGTGGGTACACAGTAGATACTCAATCACTTTTGTTAAATGCTCAGGAGTTGACATTGTGCAAGTTGAAAGATACCAGGTGCTGAGGGGCCCTGCTGACTTCTCCAGCACACAATAAGCGCTCAATAAATGTTGAATTGTGCATGCATGAGCAGCTCAAGTTCTGGCAAGCTCTGCACACACACCCTTGCCCATCGGAGGTCGGCCTGCTACTTGCGCCTTTGTTCCAAATGAACCACATGCCGGCATCGATCCCCGCTCAGCAGAAACCTACAGCTCACATGCCCGCCACACATACGGCTGCAGTCAATGGCATCCATGTGCACTCACACTTCATAAACACCAAGATTTGACCCACATGTCAGACACAGACATGGCTGAAGATAAGCAAGAAGAGGGTCCCGGGGCTCCTGGCTGTGTACTCACATGTAGCGCACTGCAGACACATGGTGCAGGGGACCTACTAGGTATTCCAAGATCACGTGGCACAGGACAGCCAGTGCGAAGGCCCTGAGCCAGGAGCATGCCTGGAGCATTGCCTAGCAGGGGAAAATTGAGGGAGAGGGAAAGGCGAGGAGAAGATGGGGTGCGTGGCAATGAGTAGTGCTCCAGGTCACGGAGGACTTTATGGACCACCGTGGAAGCATTTGTCCTGCATGAAATGAGGAGCGAGAGGGGGCTTGTGAGCAGAGGGGTATAACCAACACCAACAGTCGGGGGAAATATCTTGAATTAGGGATATTACTTGGGAGGCAAGTATTCAGTCCAAGTGATGGGGCTCGTCCCAAGGTAGTGGCCAAGGAGAGGTGGGGGGTGGTCCTAGCTTGGACGTACTTTGCAGGGGGAGCCAACAGGAGTTGTAGCAGATGGGATGTGAGGATGAGGCAGAGTGAGGCCAGGGACCCACCCCCAGGATTCTCGACTAGAGCCTGATTGGCTGTCATACCTGGGATGGGACTCAGGCAGGCTGCGGGAACCGGAGGGCCCAAGAAGGTTATTGCAAACCCTCCTCCCATAATGCTGACCTGTGGTCTAGCAGAGCTTGGAAGCAGGACACGGCAGACCGCGTCCACAGGTCTGGCCGCCATCTGGCCCACAGCTGGCATTGTTCTCCCAGAGGCGGGGGCCTCACCACCTGCTCCCTGGCTCCAGACCAGCTGTGGGACTCACGGCCCCAGGTCAGAGCTCAGAGGCCTCCTGGTAACCCCCAGGTGTTACAGAGGAGGAAATGGAGGCCTGGAAGTTGGGGGATGGCTTGTTTTCCTACAGCCTCGCGCGTCCGCCCCGTCTGCCCTTCCCCGCTGAGAGGCCTCAGAACAAATGCTGATGCTCCCAGTGCCTCCTTTTGCTTCTCCGTCAACTAGACGGTCAACATCTGACAAATGCTCACTATCTTTGCTATTGCCCTTTGTTCTGCATCCACTTCATACAAGCCTCAAGTCCTTGGGTGGGATGTTCCAGCTCTTTATACCTCGGTTTCCCCATGTTTAAAGTATCCCTGCAGGACAGAGCGAGGCCAGGATGAAGTAAACAACGTACAGCACTCAGGACAGCTCAGGTGGTAAGCCCCAACTCCACGGCGGCTCTCTGCATTTTACCTCTCCCATGCCCACTCTCTGTCCCCACGCCCTGCTTGGTTTTTTTCCCATGACTCAGTACGGTATTTTAGTTTTCCATTGTTTAAAATTGAAATATAAGGGTGCCTGAGCGGCTCAGTCAGTTAAGACTCTTGATTTCGGCCCCGGTCATGATCTCAGGGTGTGAGATCGAGCCCCATGTTGCGTTCCTCATGCAGTACAGAGTCTGCTTGAGATTCTTTCCCTCTGCCCCTCCCCCATTCTCTCTCTCTCTCTCTCTCTCTCTCTCTCAAATAAATAAATAAATCTTTAAAAAAATAAAATGAAATAAAATTGAGGGGCGCCTGGTGGCTCAGTCAGTTAAGCATCTGCCTTCAGCTCAGGTCATTATTCCAGGGTCCTGGGATCAAGCCCCACATCGGGCTCCCCGCTCAGTGGAGAGCCTGCTTCTCCTTCTCCCTCTCCTGCTCCCCCTGCTTGTGCTCTCTGTCAAATAAATAAATAAAATCTTTAAAAAAAAAACCCAAAAAGCAAAAAAATTCCATTGGCCCAAAAGGAAACCCTGTCCCCGTGAGCGGTCACTCCCCATCCCCCTCCCCCAGACCTTGACAAACATCAGTTTGCTTTCTGTCTCTATGGATTTGCCTGTTCTGAACATTTCACATACACGGGATCCTACAATCCATGGGCTTCTCAGCACAATGTCTTCAAAGTTCCTCCACGTTGTAGCGAGTATCAGGGCTTCACTCTTTTTTGTGACTGAGTAATATTCTGTAGTGCCGATGGACGACGTCATTTATTCATTCATCATTGACGGACATTTGAGGTGTTCCCTTTTTGGTGATTGTGACTAGCACTGCTGTGAACCTGTGTGTACAGATAGCCGAGTCCTGTTTTCACTTCTCTTGGGTAACCTCTGTGGGAGTGGAATTGCTGGATCACAGGATAGCTCTAGGGGGAACTTACTGAGGGATTGTCATGTATTTCCTTTTCTTGTTTACCATCCATCCTCCGCCTGGAATGTCAACTCCCCAAAAGGCGAGGACTGTCTTTTCTTCTTGGCTATGGTAGTTGCACAACATTGTGAATGCACTAGATACCACTGAATTATTCACTTTAAAATGGTGATTTTGGGGGCACTTGGGTGGCTCAGATGGTTGAGCGTCTGCCTTCAGCTCAGGTTATGATCCCAGGGTCCTGGGATCAAGCCCCACGTCCAGCTCCTGGCTTGGCGGGGAGCCTGCTTCTCCCTCTTCCTCTGCCTCTCCCCCTGCTCCTGTTCTCTCTCTCTCTGTATCTGTGTCTTGAATGAATAAATAAAATCTTTAAAAAATAAATAAATAAATAAAATGGTGACTTTTACGTTATGTGAATCTCGCCTTGATGGGGGAGGAAAAAGGTGGGGCATATAGACCACTTCCTTCCAGGATTATGCGTGGGCTCAGTGAAGAATAAACACAGTTGCCCTTGATCTTGCTCTCTTTGTCACCCCAGCTGGCAGCACCTCGAATGTCTCCTTCAAGTCAGGTCTGAGCTAGGTCCACCTTCTCTAACTTACCTGCAGTCTAGAAGGTTACATGCCTGCAGCCCCTCCCACCACCACCATAGCTACACCTCCTAGGTTCCTACTGGGTGCTGGTGACCCCCAGACTTTTCTCCTGGTCCTCATGACGACCTTGCAAAACAGGGAAAGTGAGACTCAGAGAGTGGAAGAAGCCTGCCAAGGCTCAGGAGCAAGAAATGGGACCCTTGCTCTCTGACTCTGAGGCTCAATCCCTCTCCAGAGCCCTATGCTGACCCCTTTTCTCCTTTCTTTTAATCAGGCATTCAGCAAGCACTTACTGACAGCCTCCTGTGCACCAGACCCTGTGGCGGGCGTGGGACACACGTGCCAGACAAAAGGAAGAGAGCCCTGCCCCCCCCCGGGGGGAACAGTCTCACTGAAAAGACATTGAACAAACATTCTCAGCATACTGCTTGAATGGTGTCCCCCCAAAAGACGTATCTACCTGGGGGCGCCTGGGTGGCTCAGTTGGTTA